CCGTGGACCGGTCCGTACTCCACCGCTTTCCCAACACGACTATTATGTTTCCTTAATTCGCGAACCGCTCTCTCCGAGTCACGCGTTGATTCGCTGAAATTTGAAGACCTGTCAAACCACAAATTAGCAAGAACGCTCTGATTGGTGCGACATCGAAAAATACTACAATCTGATTGGTTTGTGATACACCAAAAAACTGTGCCAATCACATTGCTTTGAGATCCACCAAAAAAATATGCGCCAATCAGATTGCTTAGAGATACACCAACTTGCACCGATCAGATTACACTAAACTAAAACAAAAAACTCAAAAATACTCGCAACTCGGAAGCGGCAAAGAAGTATCTGGGACCGTTGCGACGTAACTAAAAACAAATCTGGCAATACACTATCGAAGATACAGTTGTTTACCTCTTTTCCAGGCAAAGACTGCATTTGGGTTGGTACTGTTACGAAATTTAGAACTCGACGGCTTCTCTCGGATTCCCTTGCAGTAATGGCCAAGGTGCATGGCACAGATGGTGATATTTCTGTACATCGCTTCACCGTTTCGAAAGAACTCTGATTTTCACTGATCACCGTTTTGAAGGAAATAAAATTTTTCAAGCGTCTTTCTCAAGGCCTACATAATAGATGTGGAAAAAAATGTTCTTGTCTCAACGGCCGGCCATAAATGTCCTCAGCAGTGGCGAGCGATGCGCGAATTCCTTTGCATAGATGTTCTTCGAGCAAGATACGTCTCCAACTGATTTACAAAACCTACAACAATTGATACTTACCGTAGTGGAAGATTTACTGATCTTTTGGGGCGTCTGCTGAATATTCTCAGCTGAAATTATTCGGTTCGAAGCGCTTCACGTGTAGTTTGTTCTGATTGCCGACAAGCTATGCTCGCCAGTGGACTAGGTGGAGAGAAATTCCCACTTATCTGCTGCCCCTCCCTCAAACCGCTTATTTGTAATCTGCTAAAATCTGGAAGACACGTGACCAGCCTAAACCAGGGTCTCTCTTTTCTCGCTCCAGGGGACGGGAAGATGAGAGACCCTGGAAACGAGGTTGTCTCAAACACCTTAACTATTATAATGAATGCCCTAGTCTTTAGCAAGCTATATTATTGTTGTAATGTTTGGAGCAACACCTCAGAGCACAACCTGAGTTGGATCCAAGCAGTACAAAATTTCGCGGCCCGTATCGTCAGCAATTCAAGGAAATACGACCACATTTCCCCCATCCTTAAAGAGTTAAAGTGGCTGCCTGTAAGACAGCACTGAGTTGCATTATCGCCAAGCAATAACGGCCTTTAAATGCATGACTGAGTGCGCACCAGACTCTTTACTTTCTAAATATATCCAAAGAGCTACCATCACTAAGCGTACAACGAGGAACTCCCAGATGCTAGATATTCCTTTGAATAAAATTGCCACAGAACAAAGAACTTTCTACTTCAGGACTATCAAACTCTGGAACTCATTAGATCCTACTCTTAAGTTGAAACAGACACTAAAAGACTTCAAACGTTGCTTGAAGAGAAGCCTTATTTCAAGCTTTTTCGACATTTAATTGCTTTTGTTTTTGCCTTTTAAATTTATTTTTAATTAATCAATTTGATCATGTTATCCATTTATTAGTTAACTAACTCATTAACTTGGTAATATATAGTTTTAATTATTTCTTTATTCTGAAAAAGCCCATTTGGGACGAATAAAATATGTACGTATGTATGGTATCGACATTGGCCCATTGTTTAGTCTCCTCATCGTAAATGTGCGAAGACGTAAGGTCCTGCTGCGGAAGACTTAGATGTGCCCTTCGAATTCAACGAGAAGGTGGATTTATGGACTGAAACTTGAAGTCCATAGCCAATACTAAAGGTAAGCATCGATTTAAGATACGTATGACTTTTATTTTGTCTAGAGCGTTGTAAAGTATTTTACTAAACAGGACTGGGGCGAGGCTTCGGACTACTTAGGTAGATGTGTTCGGCGATGATCGATCTTGCCTACAAAGTTCTTTCCGGTTCTATCCAGCCGTTGAAGGAGATTGCTAACGCCTTATTAGGGGACGTATCATTCAAATGTCCAAAAAGTACCTTAGACACGGCTTCGATGGCCAAGTGTTGACCAAAAACACGCCTCTGAGGGATTTATTGTAAACCCGTTTTGTTGGCANTGAAACTTTTATTGATCTTAAATGAGTGAAATCACCGTTCTAACACCTTTTAACACTTAACAGTTAACTTTTTTAAAACGCTAAACATTAAAATTTTACAAATTTTAACACTAAACATTAAAAAAAAGGCCGAATAACACTTAAAGGCCCATTTTCATCCGAGATCCTTTGCAGTCGTTTGTTTTTGTTTTGGAATCGCGCTATTGTTAAATGGCGAACTCTGATAGTCATTCACAAACACTATTAAAAAGAAAAACAAAGATTTGGTGTAGAACACAGTAAACAAATTTGCAGCTAAATATTTGAGACTGAAAAATCATAAATCGAGTCTGTGTATAAAACTTGTACAAAGCTTACTTGATGTTGAAGGAAATTGTTCGGTTTCAACACTAAATAAAATCTAAACAAATAACCAATATTGGCCAAAACTGATTTACTTTACGTATTTCAATTATAGAATAATGACTTGTACAAATGAGATCGCTTACATACATATCTCAGGATCTCAAGTAAAAATCAGTCAAATAATTATTCTCAACTCGAAAAAATCTCCCCGGAGTCTCTAGTTCCATCGTAGGAACAATGCAATAACATTTCTGCAAAAGCACTGTCTGTAGTGTTACCGAAGCCCATTGTTGTTTCCTTGCCCTCCATAAATCATACACAGACTCTCGAAGTCGAATAACCTTTGCCGAGCCGAGCAGACCCGGCCTTCCTCTAGACCGCTTCTTCGGCGGCATCAACTTTTCAAATGACGTTTTTCACCGTCATACGTGTAACAATTAAAAACTATTTACTGATATGGATACTACGATAGTTTGTTGTTCGCACATGATTCAAGATGGAACTTTGAATGCCCTAATTAGTAAGATGGAAGAAGATATCAAAGCGATTCCGCAACTTCGACGAAAATATCGTATATTTCAAATATGAAAAATGATCTGGGCGCGCAAGGCATCTCGGTCGAAATGGGCCTTTAACACTAAACCCCATCCAGACCCTCGTAGATGGCTCGACAAATATTTGTTGTTAATTTGCGTCAGTAATAATTTTGCACAGCGGAGATGCTCATGGAAAGGAAAAGAGCAAGATGGCGAAAGTCAGAAGACGTGCCAGACGTGTTCCAGCTTTAGGCGCGTTTGTCACATTTTATGTGGCGTCTCATCTACACGGACAATTTCTTATGTGGCAATTTTTATTTTCCACATAAAAACTAACACGCCAGGTTTTCAGCAAATGCAGTTGTCACATAAAAATTGGTCATTTTTCATCATCTACACGGGCAAATAAAAATTGCCAGATAAAAATTGCCAGATAAAAATTGCCAGATAAAAATTGCCAGATAAAAATTGCCATATAAAAATTGCTCATGTAGACGGGGCTTTACTTGCAAATACAATGGTGCCTACAACACCAATTTCATTTAGTAACGCGCTTATCTGAGGTACAAATAAAGTTATCATCGGCAGTAAAAGTCTTCCCTTTTTTATCCATATTTCTGCTGGATTGAAGAGCGCTATCGTGCGCTAGTAGGTTTTCTAAGAAACTTCCGCGTTATATAGTACAGCAAATTTTCATTGGTTAGTCTCAATCGATCAACCAATAACCTTCCTTGTTAGAACATTAAATGTATACACGTGGCTACCATGTAGTTCTGTTTTCAGGAACCGCGCGCTAAGAATGGGCCGAGACGACCTTTTTCGAATCGATACGATATTTCCCTTTTTCTTCGATATCGATTATCGATAGCAATACTGTGACGTCATTGAAATGAATAGTAAGTCACATGATCTGATTGGCTAAATGAAGACACCCTCGCAAGGTTTTCAGTTTAGTTCTCTATAGTAGCATCAACAAGACAGTCGAACAAGTCAATAATTTCTATTTATAGGGACTCATTTGTAAATTTCACGGGGAAATGAAGAAGACCGCAATGGTACAATCTTTCTACTTGCTATATTAAGCAATTTGCAACTATCACATGCATTTATTACCATAAGCCGTACAATGAAAGGTTATCAGTCACTGCATGGGTCACTGATAATAAACAAACACGGATGCACGACCTATTATGGACCCTGCGCGCACGATCTTGAGCCCGGAGTCTTTTCGGCTACTTGTGAACGGTTAGTCGCGGGAGATTAAGTCGCGGATAGCTAGGTCACGTGCAGTATCGAAAGAATCGATACTCTTCGGTGGTATCGATAATTTTTCGATCTGACCTCGATAACGCTGGTATCGAATATTTGGTGTCGGTATCGGCCAATCCTTACCAGACCTCTCAACCGCAAAACACCAAAAATGCGGAGACTGATGCAAAAAAATCTGAAGATTTCAGTAAAGATCCGGAGATTGGTCGACTGGCAGACAAAACCAAGTAAACACAGGTTCTTAAATTAAGAGAAAATGTTTTTTGTCCTGCTCATAATTTACTTAAACATGTGTGGGCCTTGACAACACAGAAATAAAATTTAAATATAATATTTATCAGGTTCATCAATATTGCCGCCATTTTGATAACGTGTCGTGTCAAATTGCGAGAGACTGGTTATGATGACCTAATTTGGAACAGGTGTTCTGTATATGGTCATCGACGACTCACGGTGTTTCCAGCGAACAGACGGATGAAGAGCACAACAGCTTGGATTGTTATGGATTTGCACAGAATTGGCCCAAAAAACTCACCTCTAGCAAGCCAAAAATGAAATTATACAAAAAATTTATCCTTTCAGCTTGCGCCTCTACGTGAGATTTGTCTGTCTTGTCGCGAGACCGTGAGATTTAACTGGAAATCGTGCGCGCTTTATTTGTGCGCACGATTTCCAGTTTGAACACTATCCTGCACTAAATATTTTTTCTGAGACGATGTCATCCAAAGAGGTTGGAGATGAATCTTGCGACGAGAGAGGCAAACCTTCAGCCCAACGGATAAGGATAAATCATTGGATCCTGGATCCTGGAACCAAGTCGCAATCAAGTCATTTTCGCGCTCTGGAAATTTTCCTCTCCGTTGCAGTGGCATGTATTGCTGTATTTATCTACCTTGATCCCCCTGTGTACGAAATGAAGTGTGACTTTGACCTGGTTGAAGTCTTTGAAAATGGGGTTGAAAAGTTACAGTTATCATTCACTAATCAGACCGACAGGTTCTGGAAGATTTTAAGAACTCGTGGATTGGCTCATCTACGGGAAAAATATCCAAGAAGACCACTGGTGTTCTTACTGCCTGCACCTCCAGCAGCACATGAATGGTTGGATTGCCTGGCCATTAAACTGACAGAAAAGCTGGATCCAAGACATAAAACAACCCTGGCCATAATTGATAGTGAAAAAGAGAAAGCAAATCCCTCAGAAACGACCAAAAAAAAGATGGACAATTTCCTGAAGCAAAAAGTTGTGGCTGGTCACAGGGTAATACTCATCCGTCACCTTGAGCTTCTCCCACCACCCTCACCAATTCTGTTTCACTCTTATTGTGATGATCAAGATGCACCACATAAGCATGTGGCCTTTATTTTTACTGTACATATGCCAGTAGAGCCTAGTTCATCTCTATCCTCTGAAGAAGCAGAGAAAAGTGTAGAGGACTATCTTTCAGGTGAGGTCTGGGTGAAGGTTGATAAGAATGCGGTTGCTTCACTCTTGAGCCGCATTGCTGACACTGTGGTGCTCATGAATGGTGAATCTAGTGGTTCAGTAAAGGCTCTTTGTTCATAATCCACTCACAATTAGTGATAAGTAGGATGAGTGAGTGAATTCTCAAAACACTGTCAAGAAAGTAGGATTTAACCATTTACAGTCAGAGTGATGAGCATCTTATTTCCCCCAACAGTATCACCTCTTCAATCAAACATTAAGGTCATGACAATAAAAGAAATGATTGTAAACTGAAGAAGCTCTTGATTATAATACAAATTCTCATTTATTAACTATAGAATATGTATAGAGAACAGTAAGGAGAATTTGCATGCTGAAGTTAAGGTGTAAGGGGTTAAGTGAGTTGGCCAAATTTAAAGTAAGGTTTACCAGAGGATACTGTCTCGATTGAGCAGTTCTCAGGAGTACTAAACAAAAAAATCAAGATTTTCAGCCAGGAGATGTAAAATTGAGATTGAGAGATTGAAAGGAGTTTTATTATAACCTGAGGTCAAATTTATAGCAAGGCTATCTTGAGGGTTGAGAAACAATTACCTCCTTGTCATGATAAAAGTATGTACTTGTCTGGCAACTGTGGTTTATTTTCAGTAGAATGTCACAATAATTAGAACTATTGACTTATCACAAAACACAATGTATGGTTAACAATGCAAACAATTCATGAACTCAACTAGCTTTTTTAGACTGTGAAATAGATTGAAGGTAGTTCAAAAGAGTGGTCAAATTTGATTACAGTTGAGCTGTTCACTTTCCTTCATACCCAGTGAAAATGCTTAGTACACAAGAGACACCCAGAGAACCTTTTTGGGTCCACAAGTTTTGGTTGAGGGACAATTATTGCAAGTGAGAAAATTTGAGGAACAAGTTTGTAGAAACTCTTATCTACTTGAACAATGGACCCATTAAATGAAGGGGAACTGGGATTGATCAAAAGTTGACTAAAATTTGATTTGATAAAGGAAATAGTATCAAAATATGTTCTCCACAATTGTTGGATATCATATTGTGCACTCGTCAAATAGCCTTCTTTCAATATGGAAAAAGTCTTGTCAAGTATTAATGTTCAAGTATCAAGAGAGTTGTCCAATACACATACAAATAGATTCCATAGGAAAACATGTCTTTTATAGGAAAACCAGAAGTCTATTGGTAGAAATGGGAATATATTACCAGAAGAGGTAATCATCACACACACACTGGAAGTCAATAAATTGATGATGTCTGCTCTACCATTGGTGCCCCATGGATTCTGAATTGATGCCAGTGTTTGATTATGGACACTTGATTGCAATCCCAGAGTCATGTCTAATTTAGATACTAGTGTCTGATTTTAGCTATTAGTAACCAACTTTTGACACTAACACTGGAGTTATGTTAGAGTCTGATTTAGTTACTAGTGTCTAATTTTAGACACAAGTGTCTCATTCAAGACACTAGTGTGTGAAGTAAAGCACTTGTGTCTAGGTTTAGTCTCTAGTGTCTAAAGACACTAATGTTCAGATAAGTCACCCTTTCCGATTTTAGGTAGTAGTGTGTGATTTTAGACACTAGTGTGCAATTTTGAGCTCCAGTATCAGATTTTAAACACTAGTGTATGATCATAGATGCAAGTTTCCGATTTTAGACAACATTGCCCGATTTTAGACATTAGTGTCTGATCTGAGACACTAGTGTGCCATGCCAAGCACTTGTGTCTGGTTTTACACATCAGAGTCTAATTTTAGTCATTAGAGTCTGATTTTAGACTTTACTGTCTTACTTTAGAAACCAGTGTTCAGTGTTGAAAATTTTTTTTTTATTTTAGCCACTTGTGTCGGATTTCAGACACTATTGTTTGATTTTCGACCCTATTGTCCAATTTTGGACATTAGTGTCCGATTTCACCCCATTGCAGTTGCTATGCCCAATCTCGAGTCCAGTCTTTTCGGCTTCTCACCTCATACTATAGGTCGTCGGCTTGAGTTGAAACGCAGGCAGGACACTTGCAGTATCGAAAGCATCAATTACCTTCCGCTAAACTTCGCTAGTATCGATGTTTTTCTATCAGACCTCGGTATCGCCGTTATTAGATGTTTGGTATCTTCTATCTTTAGTCTCATTTTCGTCAATGTGCGAAGACGTAAGATCCGGCCTGCTGCGGATGACTTAGGGCCTGATTACATGAGCCGGGCTGGCCCGGTTAGCCGGGCTGATTTCTTTTGTTTTGGTGTTCGCCAAAGCGTGAAAACAAAAGAAATCAGCCCGGCTAACCGGGCCAGCCCGGCTCATGTAATCAGGCCCTTAGACATATTCTTCGAATTCAACAAGGAGGTGGATTTATGGACTGAAACTGGAAGTCATGAGCTAATCTTAAAGGTAAGCTTCGTTTAAGATACACGTGACTTTTATTTTGTCTAGAATGCTGCAAGGTTTTGCTAAATGGGACTGAAGCGAGGAGTTCGGATGACTTAGAGTTATATGTGTTCATTCCAAGTTTTGGCTGGTTTATTTATTGTTCGAACAAAATAAGGTTTATTAACGTAGTCTTGAGAATGCAGTTATCAGGAAAAATAACATAATACTAATGTCGGAAAACTGAATAGTGAAAAACCGTACACGTGGTACCAGCCTTCTTGGTTAGATTTCGTGAAGTGTATTGGATTGCGTTCCTGCACAACGTCATCTTGTCTAACAACTTAGTGCGAATGGAGTCCAGCGTGGAGCAATCAGTCTAGAATTTAGACCAAAGATAATTTGGTCTAGAATGAATATATGTTTATGTAATTTGTCTTGAAAAGTCAAAGCACCTGGCAGTACTGAACATCTTACCTTTCCTTTGTGATGCAAATGCTACTAGTTGTTGCACAGGCGGCCCAAGCGTACTATGTGTGATTTTTGGGATATAAAGGTCATTCACGGGATTCTCCAACTATGATTAGAAAGAATTGTATGCGTAAGCGTTTGCTGTTAAAAGGAAAAATGAATAAAAAATTGAAAAAAACTACAAGGAATAAAAAAACCGAGAAGTATAATCTGTTGAGTCTCCTTATCTTATTCCTTAGCCACCTGATCGCTTCCGGTCTCTGTAACGCTATTTTGTCGCCTTTCTTTTTACCGCGTTTTATCAGGGCTTAAAATAAAAAAAAAAAATTATCCATTGCAATTTGCTTGTAATTCCCAAAATTTAGTCGCAAAAGAAATTTCATGAGCGTTGAACAACATAGTTTGTGAAAAAGTGCGCCCGCAATACGTTTCTCATCAAGATATCAACGATGAAAGTTACGAAACATTTAACTTGAATTTGGCAGGATTTTTCGGATAAAACTACAGAAACCAGTAACAAGTAAGACGCAAGGCTGTTAAATAGAATTTATTTATAAGCTAGGCTGCAAAACGGTCGCAAAATCGCTACCAATGGAAGCTAAATGGAGGAATTTTCAGTCGCAAATGCGTCCGATATAGGCGCAATTTCGAACCCTGTTTATGCCACCAATTATAGATAAAGAAGGCTTTTCTCTATAACGGGTGCTGAGTACCAACCGTTGCCACTTGAGGGCCGATAAATTCCACAAAGATATACGTATCTTCTCCAAATTGCCCTCAGTGAGAGCCATCATCACCTGATGATGCCGTTGATCGGCGAAAGCTTGGATTTTAAATTTTATTTTTTACAGCAGTTTAAGGCCTCATTCAAACAGTTTGTATACGTTCTGAACTTAGTTCGCAACCTTAAACCGAACGCTTGGCACCAGCTTTCTTGATCAGATTACATCAAGTGTACTAGTGTGCCATTGTTTTACGTTCCTGAACAGCGTCATTTATTCGTGTCTATCTTACCAAAGCAATTGCTAAACTGCCAAGAGTAGAAGTATTGTAAACTCTGGCCTTTAGGAAAATTCGCTACTGATATAGTTAAGATTTTGTCATGCAATGTGATACAGACTGCGTTACCGAAAGAACTTCATGAAATGCAATTTGTACTTTAATGAAATGTGATTTAGTGTAATGTAACTCAATGTGGTGTAATTTAATGCAATATAATTTAAGATCTCGGTTTGGCTTAGGAATTCATTTATAGTTACCTGTGAGAAGAGGAAATAAGGACGAGACGATAATTATGGCCAAGAGATAAAATTGGAATCCGTGAACAGTCAGAAACATTAGTCGCCAAAGATAAGAACTAGTTGGAATTCTTTTGATTAATCAAGTCATTCATGTTGGGTATTCACACAATACCATAGATACATAGGGAGGAGAAACTTTAAGATGGTGAAAAATTTGAAAGCTCTATCTTGAATAAATTACTTACCAATCCTGTCATCCAAAATTTGATAACAATTTTCTTGTAAGGTCATTTTGTATGCCCTGAATTTATGCAGTAGCATAGAAAACCAAATGCATTTTTTAAGTTATTCAAAGCTCAGAAAATATGATTGCAAGCCATTTCTTAAGTTTTATGTATTTATGTTCAAAAAGCAAAGACACGTGATAAAATTTGAAGGAAATAGACAAGTTCCCGAAAGGAAGTAAACCAGCAAATTTCTTGAAATTTTCACAACCAAAAGACTTTAGGGGTTTGTTCCCTTGCAGAGAAATAAGAGAAAGTTTGATTACGGTTTGAGAATTTTGAGTTAACTTTGGATTGGGCTCTTTAGAATTGATGTAGTTTTCGATACAAACTTGGGAATTCATTTTCAGGAAAAATGATGAGAATTTGGCGTTGTTCACAGCTAAGGAAATTTCATCTATAGTCTATTATTGTTTGAAATTAATTTGGATTAAATAGTTTTAAAGAAAAGAAACTAGATCTTTGCAACTTTTACATCTGATGATCAATTTCGTCTATAGGCTTAGGTTCAGGATATATTTGTGTCTAATTTGTTTGCCTTACAGCAGAAGAAGATGAAAATATATAATGATTTCTTTGTAATTATTCTGGGTTGGAGTATGTCCAAAATTAAGATAAGAGTCGTGCAGTATTCCCATCAATGATATGACAAGTTCATTATGCATTTGATAAATTTGAAAAATCAAATACTTATGGTGCCAAGGCTGATGAAAGTTACTTTTGGCACCAGGTTCAGAATTTACTTAGGAGTTAGATTTTAAGGAAAAAAATTAAGAATTTCACGCTATTCAGGAGATCATGTTAATTGTCAGGATTTCATTTATTTTGGAAGAAATTTTCTTGTCAAGCTAAAATTCAGACCCAAAAACTTCTTCAGACTTTTTCAAATGTCATCGTTATTCTTGTGTTGCTGAGTGACATGTTTGTAAGCCCTTTTTCTCGTATTTGCCATTCCAGGAAAGCATCAACAACAATGTTGAACAGTAATTAATAAGAAAATATTCACATTTCTGTCATTACCTTTGAAAAGAGAACACCTCCCACTTAAATTATTGGCCAATTTTGTGGAACTTTTGACCAAAAGAGTAATCAACCTAAGTCTTTCTGTCACAACATAGGTATGAAAGTGACAATAAATTTATTTTTATGAGAATTTGTCATTGTTTTTTACTGTATTGTATGCACCAAATGCAAATATGGCATCCAATTGGAATTGCCATTGTTCTGGACTTATTAGCCTAGTCTTCATGTGGAAACACATAAGGAGTATCACGCATAAGAGAGGCTAGGAGGTCCAGAACAATGGAAATTCAAATTGGATGCCATATTTGCATTCAATGTATCAAACATATATTCTTGTCCCTCTCAAAATGAAGTTTTAGCCATGTTGAACAGAAATGAGATGTCTAACAATGAAGAAAATGAAGTAGACCGAGAACCCCCAACATGAGAGTGGGTTTACTTTTTGGCCACATCATTTTACTACCATTACCCTGCTATATAAGATTACCCTTGCAAGAAAATAAACTACCAGTAAAATACACCATACATTCCTCAAATAAGAATGAAATCCATTTTTAACAGAACATAACATTATTCCTATTAATCTTAGCCAGTTATCAGTGACACAATAAATTCTGAAGAAACTGCATGTTCAATATGTACAAACAGTGCTAATTTATTTTTGTCACATTTGAAATACTGAATTAATATACTACCAGAAAAGTATGGGTTCTTCACACCACCAGTAATAAGAATATAATTTACTAAAACTACATCAATATCTAGAATAATCAAGAAATTCTACTAATGTTGCAAAGTACTGAAAACTATCACGGACAATCTGAGAGACTCAAGACAATCATTGGGACACCAACCTCTTATAAGACTGAATCAAGAATTTTATGAATGAATTTCACCAGTGTCAATGTGGGACACAAGTGTAGGTCCTAGTAGATCTCTCTTAAAAGTTTACAACTTTAAAATGCTGGTGAAAAGTGTATGCAAGAATGTCTCCTACACTGCCTTTTCAGCATTGCTTTCAGTTTTTTTTTTTGTTGTTCAGAAACAACACAGTACAGGGGAGCCTGATTTGGGAGTTAAGATATTCGGCTGAATATAATCTCAAATTTCAAGAGAGTCGATGAGCTGTTTTATTTCCTCAAGAAAAGCCAACCCTCACCCTGGTCGATCTGAGAGAGCAATAAAAATTGAAATTTCCATTGTTCTCATTCTCCTTTAGGTGAATGAGTGAACAAGTGAAAAAATGAATGAGAGATATTCAATTTGAAAATTCTGATTTCCTCATGCACTAAGTTCTAAATTTCTCTTAATTTATCTCATGTCTCTTATCAACCAAGTATATTTTTACTCTCTAAAGCAGCACAAAACTTTAATTAGAAACTAAACTTAGTCTTCATTCTCTCCAAGATACCTTGTTCTCTCTCGGGTCCCTTTTTTTCTCATCAGATAATATCATATTACATATCAAAACATGCCTCCAACACCTTAGTCTCCACCCTCTGCTGAACTTATGTCCCCTCTCCCAGCCACTTCTAAAACTAAGTTTGAGAGGTCAAGTTACCAACAGGCAAGTCACTGCCATAGGTCTATAAAGTCATGTAAGTGAAATGGTAATGCATTTTTTTCAAAAACCAGTCCCTAAAAATTGTCTACACACTGAATGGGTGTAACTTGTCGCCTAATAGGCCCCAAGTTCAAGATTTTTAAAATTCCTCACCCCATAACATAGTCTACTTTGCTTGAAATTTTCTTGCAGCCAGACTGTGAGAAGACCTCCAGGTCTTTTGGAAAGTATGATAATTCATCTGCTACTTTATTAAAGATGAGTTCTGAGACTGGGTGTCCTTTTCTTCTTAACTCGGCTTCAGCACACAATTTAATATGGGATCTCTCCAACGGCAAAAATGGAATAAAGTAGTCTATGAGATGTTTTTCAATAAGAGAGGAATGCCAGAATCCACCTTTGTCATCAAATTCACCTTGCTTGATAACTTCGTCCATTTCTTTGATCTTGATGTCCTCTCGTTTCTTTCCATCTTTCCAGTGCTTTATAACCGCAGCGTTGATGAGATCACCCCCTGTATTGCTGAGGAATATGAAGATACTTTGACGGAAATCGATCTTGCCTGCACCAGGGGGGTGGTAATCTAAGTAAGGCTTAAGCACATCTACGAGGCCTAACGGCATTTTGTCCATTTCGTCGAAAATAAACATGGATCTGGGGCACTTTGATACGGATCTTTCCACTAGATCGCGCAGCTGTCGCTTGTAAATTTCTACATCGGACTGATGAGGGTAGTGATGGGTAGCTATGATCAGATGAACATAATTACTCTTCATTCCCTTCTTGAAGATGTGTTCCGCAATGATCTTGCTCACAAAGTTCTTTCCTGATCCTGTCCAGCCGTTGAAGGAAATCGCCAACGCTTTATTTGGCGCCTCATCGTTCAAATGTCCAACAAGTGCCTTCAACACGGTCTCGGAGACTAAGTGTTGACCAAAAACACGCCAACGAAGAGCTGTCTGTAAACCAGCTATGTCGGCTGAGTTCTTGTCCTCACAGCATTCAGTAAAATGACAATACAAATTAGGCAGGGACACGATGCCAGCTATAATAGCGACTCCAACACTAGCGACTACAGCAATATCTTCGATAGGTGGCGCGTGTATCTGAGGCGCGCATAAAATTATCACCAGCAGCACAAGTCTCTCTTTCCTCTCCATGTTTTAGTAGGTGTTGGAGGACGCTTTAGTGCGTATGCAGGTGTTCCCTGACAACTTCCGCGTTGTTTAGTACAGCAATTTTAATTGGTAAGTCTCAATCAACTGGCCAATGAACTTCTTTTTTAGAACAAGAAGTAATGTATAATGCATACGAGAGGCTACTAAGGGGTGTTTTCCGAGAAATTCGCGCTTACTTTAAGCACAAACATTTCGTAGAACCTGTGAAAGACAGCGTAAGAGAAGTATCCTTTGCTAAGTATTTTTACTGAGATAATGTCTTCTGGAGGCAAGGTTTTAAGTTTGAAAAAGCATACTGAAAATGGAGCTGATGGTGAAAGCGGCAGACGTGGAAACGAAATTAACCCAAAAACATGGCAAGATAAAGGAACTCAGACATTGGTTACTTTTTCCGACCTCTATACAATTCAGTTTCTCTTTAATCGCAAGGGACTATTGCTTGCCACAGTCGCAGTTGCATGTATTGCTGTAATTGCCTACTTTGGTCTACCTAAAGGTGACATGAAGAGTAACTTTGACCTGGTGAAAGACTTTGGAGATGAGGTTGACAAGTTTCAGTTGTCATTCACTAATCAGACTGACAGGTTCTGGAAGATTTTAAAATCTCGTGGAGTAGCTCATCTACAGGACAAGGATCCCCTGCAACCACTGGTCTTTACACTGGCTGCACCTCCAGCAGCACATGAATGGGTGGATTGCCTGGCCATTCAGCTGGCAGAAAAGCTGGATCCTATACATCGAAGAACTCTGGCCAGAATTTATGGTGAAAAAGAGAAAGGAAATCCTCCAGATACAACCAAAAAAACAATGGACAATTTCCTGAAGGAAAAATTTGCGGCTGGTCACAGGGTAGCGCTCATCCATCACCTTGAGCTTCTTCCGCCACCCTCTCCACTTCTGTTTCATTCGTATTGTGATGATCAAAATGCACCACATAAGAATGTGGCCCTTATTTTTACTGTACATATGCCAGTAGAGCCCAGCCCATCTCTGTCCCCCAAAGAAGCAGAGGAAAGTGTAGAGGAATATCTTTCAGGGGAGGTTTGGGCGAAGGTTGATAAGGATGCAGTTGCTGCACTCCTGAGCCGCATTGCTGACATTGTGGTGCTCATGAATGGTGAATCTAGTGGTTCAGCCAAGCAGCTTTGCTTGTATTCTACTTAGTGACTGTTAGCACTGACAGGCAGGATGAATAAGCGAATCCTTTTTACTCTGTGAAGCTTGTAGGATACAATAGAATGTAGCAAATTTAGAATTTTGCTTAGCAGGGGATCTTATCTTGGTTGAGCACTTCTCAGGAGTAGTCAACAAAGAATGTAAGATTCTCTGCCAGGATAGTTACAATTTGGATCTAGAGTGTGAAAGGAGTATTATAAGTAACTGAAGTCAAATATGTAACAATTGTTTGTTTCCTTTTCATAATGGAAGTATGGATTAGCCTGGCTACTTTGGTTTATTTTTTGTAACTAGTGACCATTCACAAAGTACAATGGAGGGTTTACAATTTAATTCAGCAACTCAATTAGCTTTTCTCTGTTAGTCAAAGCTAGACCTTTCATATTCACAAAAAGACTAATTAAAAGTTAGTTGAAAAGACTACAAGGGATATCAAGGGAACCTTTTTTGGTCTAAAATTTGTTACTTTGGGACATTAATTTAAGTAAGAAAATTTGAGGAACAACTTTGTAGGGTGACCTGTTATATGATATGTACTAGATTTAATTTTAGGGCTCAAAGTTAATAACAAGTATTGCTTTTGTGGCAGTTAGATATTATCCAGACTACTGAATGATGTGCCAGAGTTTGCAAAGGCAAACGTGTGTCTCAGATCTGTGTTTTAACCTTTAGTAGTGGATAGCATTTTCATTACAACTTAACAGCCACTATATTATACCTTCATTGTTTGATATTTTTTCTAACCACTATCAAACTCTCATTATCATGGCCAATATACCTCTTTAAGGAAGGGGAGCCAGTATTGATCTGTAGTTGTCTGAAGTTTGATGCAATAAAGGAAATGATGACCAAATAATTTCTTTGCAATTGCCTCTTTACATTTCCAAAAGATTCGGCGAAGAATTAGTGTGCAATTTTTTTGTAGTGTCCAATTATAGACATTAATGTCAGTTGCTAGGCACTAATGTCTCTTTTTACTCTAGTGACCAATTTTAGACACCATGGAACAATTTTGGACAGTAGTCTAATTCTATAATTTATATAATTTTAGTGTCGGATTTCTCATCCTAGAGTCCAATTTTAGAAACTAGTGGTGGAATTTTAGATAGTAAAGCCACATTGCAGACACTAGCTTCCAATTTTGTTCATGTGTCCAAGTTTGGAATCAATTGTCCAAGTTTTAGACAGGAGTGTCCAATTATAGACACTAGTGTCAGACTTTAAACATTAGTGTCCAATTTGGACAGTAATGGATTTCTCACACTCCTGTCCAGTTTAAGACAATAGTGCCCAATTTAAGACACTAATGTCTAATTTTCGACACAAGCTTTTGGTTTTGGACACTAGAATGTCCAATTTTGAAAACAAATGTCCAATTTTTGCCACGTCCAATTGTAGACAATGGTGTGCAATTCTTAGGCATAGGTGACTTATTTAAGGCCTTGCTGTCCAGCTGTGGACACTAGAGTCTGATTTTAAACACTGGTGTCCGATTTTTATCCCTGGTGTCTGATTTTAGACAACAGATTCATATTTTGGACATTAGTGTTTGAGTTTGGAAAGAGGTATCCGATTTTGAGCATTACTGTCTGCTTTTAGACACAAGTGTCTGAATTTAGAAGCTTGTCTCCGATTTTGGAAACCAGTGTCGGCCTTAAGACACTTGTGCTTGATTCAAGACTTAAGAATGAAAAACTTTATCTAGCAATAATTCTTATAAAATCCTATACAGTATAAAATATTAACAGCGTAAAAACGATCCAAAATAACTTTCGGCTCACATTTACTCTTTTTTTGAATATCAAAGTGTCTGGAAAACCATAAAGAACGGAGTCAAATCTGAATAAATTTAAAATCTAATTTGATCAGTAAAAACATTTCTAAAACTATACAGAAAAGCGAAAGGTGAATGGCAAGTGTAGAACCCTATACTTAAGACTTCAGTGTCCGATTTGAGACGCTAGTGTGTAATTCAAGACACTAGTCGCCGTTTTGAAAAATGATTGTCCAAGTTGAGACACTTAGGGTCGGGTCCAAGACTCTGGTGTCCGATTGAAGACACTAGTTTTCGATTTTGAAAAATTGTGTCCGCCTTCAGATACTTGTGCCTGATTTTAGACGCTAAGGTCCAATTGCCCGTTCTGAAATTCGAAATGGTCCTGGAAACGATTTAGGCTCCAAACGAATGCTGGGACTGTTTTGGGGGACGCGGAATTNATAAATGGTCACAAGCCACGCGAAGAACTGCATCCCTTCTTTCCGCAATTTTAATTTTTTGTCTCAACCGGAACTGAAAACTAAGACTACGTCATGAAAAATTAAAATCAACCAATCAGCGCTTTGCGTCCAAATTTTGGACGCAGACATTCGATATTCTGAGACTTATGCGCAGGCTCCCCTTCCTGTGTCCCCACGTTTGATTGAACAGGGAGCCTGTTCGCAGGCTAAAGTTCGATCTGCTGGGAGTATCCAAGAGCAAATTAAAGAGCAGGAGTGAGGATATGGATATTTGTAATCCTGGGTATCAGTTCTTGCGTGGAGATACATCCTCCGATGACGGAGGAGGAGGTGTTTTGCTCTATTATGTCGAAACTTAAAATGTCGTTGACAAGTCAAATTTGATTCCCGAGAGGTGGAATACTCTTGAGGCCATATAGGTGGAAACACTTTTCCACTCTCAAAGACTGGTGTTCTCTACAATGTACAGGCCTCCTGGCGATGTTGATTTTTAATCTGTTTTAGAAAGGTAAGTGGACATCGCTGGTAGCATTTGGAAAAATGCTAGCACGTTTGATTCTTTTTCTGCGATGGCCGTACAAACAATGACACCAATTTATTTTTGACACGTCTAAAATATGTACTATATATAATACCAGAAAAAGGAAAGTATAGATTCTTTAGCCCACCAGTAATAAGAATAAAAGAATAATACTATTACATTAAATACAACTCTAACATCAATATTTTAAACAATTAATGAACTGCCTCCCAGTTAGCTCAATTGGTTAGAGTGCTGGACTCTTGTGGGGGAGGTTGAGGGTTCGAAGCCTGGCCGTACCAGCACTCAAGGTCTTAAAATAACTTGTGCTACCTTTCTCTGATATCAAGAAAGGGATAGACATTGTAGTCTTCTCGGATAAGGACCAATAAAGTGTAGGTCCGGTCTCCTGCATCTATTCATTAGTTAATTTGGTTAGGCAAGGGACACTACTGAAGAACCCACTTACAAGGTTACTATGATGCGGTCTGACCTGTTTACTGGGAAACCGGAGGGGGGGGGGGCATCTTCAAATAGTTCCTTTGATTGATTGTAAACTGCTGATGTAGAAAAGCGAAAGTCCCCCGAAAAGTGTTGTAAATTAATTCTGAGAAGCCCCTTGGGGAGAATTAATAAAGTATTGTATTGTAACTCATGTAAGCAAGGCTTCTGATCTGACTGATACTACCAACTAGCAACAAGCATAGGTAATATGTGGATACTAAAGATAACCATTATTGACACATCAATCTCTTGTAAACAGAATCAAGAATTTTGCAAATGACTGTCACATTACTCAATAAAAGACCAGTAGATCTCTTAAAATTAAACATGCTTAGACAGTGGTATGTTCCTGACAAAAGAAAGGAAAATGTACCAGCACAATTCCCACTCTTACAACACATCATGTGTTTTCTTGCTGTTGATTGACAGAGGATGGTAAATAAAAGTGCATAATTTTTAAGTCTAGGTGAAAAGCTAAATCCAAGAATGTCTCCTATAAAGCGATTTTATCTATAGTTTCAGCAAACTTTTCTTTTGTTCAGAAACAACACGTTATAGGAGAGCTGGTTTACAGTCAATTCGCCACCACAAAAAATTCGCCAGCA